CCATTTTTACAACATAGGATCCAAGCTTTATTACACACAAAAAAGTATTTGCAGGCATGGTGATGCATGTTTATAAATCTCAGCAACTGGGAAGGCTAAGACAGGAATATCCAAAGTTCAAGACCAGCTTGGGCAATTTAGTGAGATGCTGTTGCAAAGTAAAAAATAAGAAAAGGGCTAGGGATGTAGCTCAGTGGTAGCATGCCCCTGGGTTCCATCCACAGTACCAAAAACTGAACAAAAAGACAAATCCCTAGTATCAAAACAAACAAGAGCCACATATTTATATTTCTTACAAGGTCAACTACCATCATATATTCTAAAGCTAATTTACTTATAGATTTCCTCCAGCCCTCCATTATATTATGGAGTTCACTCTGAACTCCAATAAATTTGTTTAAGAAATCTTTAAGTGATGGATATCATTATCCATAGTATATGTATGAAGACACGAATTGGTGTGAACACAATTTATATATAACCGGAGATATGAAAGATTGTGTTCTATGTGTAATAAGAATTGTAATACATTCCACTGTAATTTATTTTTTAAAAATAAATTAAAAATTAAGAAAAAGAAACCTTTAATAGTGTAGTTTACATCTTAAGTAACATGACAATACTTTTGAAAAAGGGACTAATTTAAACAACAAAAAAATAAATAAATCAAACCAACAGATAAATACAGAAGAGTACTAGGTTTTAGCTATTCATTTTCTCCATGTGAAACATAATCAAGGATAATCCAATACTAAGGGATACATAATTAGTAATTAATTTTCCTCACTTCATATTTTATTAATTAAAATGTGTATTCTTATGACCCATAAACAATTAAAATACAATAACATTGCTTGGAAAGGGGATTTTTAATACTACTTTACACAAACTTTTTTTTTATAGTATTTATTTTTTAGTTGTAGTTGGACACAATACCTTTATTTCATTCATTCATTTCTACATGTTGCTTAGGATCAAACCCAGGACCTTGCACATACTAAGTGAGGACTCTACAGCTGAGCCACAGACACAGCCCTACATATATTTTTAAAACTGAAAATAAGTAGAAAATTTACTGAAAATAAATACTATCCTCAAACATAAAAAATTTTAAAGGAATTGTTAAAACAAAATGCTGATCCATGACAGGGAGTGGGGAGGCACAGTAGAAATACAGGAACTTTGGGCAAAGGAGAGGTAGGGTAGGCAGGGGGTATGGGGTCAGGAAAGATGGAGGAATGAGACACAATTCATAATAGCTAGACTGTGGAACCAACCCAGATGCCCTTCAATAGATGAATGGATAAAAAAAAAATGTGGCATTTATACACCATGGAGTATTGCACAGCACTAAAAAATGACAAAATCATGGAATTTGCAGGGAAATGGATGGCAGTAGAGAAGATTATGCTTCGTGAAGCTAAATCCCTAAAAAACAAATACCAAATGTCTTCTTTGATATAATGAGAGCAACTAAGAACAAAGCAGGGAGGAAAAGCAGGAAGAAAAGATTAACATTAAACCGAGACATGAGATGAGAGGGAAAGGGAGAGAAAAAGGGAAATTGCATGGAAATGAAGGGAGACCCTCATCGCTATACAAAATTACATATAAGAGGTTGTGAGGGGAATGGGAAAATAAACAAGGAGAGAAATGAATTACAGTAGATGGGCTAGAGAGAGAAGATGGGAGGGGAGGGGAGCGGGGATAGTAGAGGATAGGAAAGGTAGCAGAATACAACAGTTACTAATAGGGCATTATGTAAAACTGTGGATGTGTAACCGACGTGATTCTGCATTTGGGGTAAAAATTGGGAGTTCATAACCCACTTGAATCTAATGTATGAAATATGATATGTCAAGAGCTTTGTAATGTTGTGAACAACCAATAAAAAAATAAAAAAATAAAAAGATTGTGTGTGTAAGACACATTGTGAGGGCTGCTGGAAGGGCCCAGGATGAGGCATGTACCAGTGCAGCATTCTCCTTCCCCTGGCTTTCGGTTGTGTCTGGGGTTAAACTCTAATCAGTGCCTAGGGAAGCTTTCAGTGAGATAAGAAGGACTCTTTAAAAAAAAAAAAAAAATGTGATAGCAAAGGAAATGGAGAGGGAGAGCTGGCCACTTCGCTTATCTCCAGTCTGTAGGTGAGAATCAAAGCAGAGCAACCTTGGTTATAAAGTAAAGGAATGTGCTCATAAACATCTGAAGAAATTACCTGCCCAGTGGGCATGGAACCTATCCTATATATTTCCCCTGCTTGTAGATGTGGTGTGGCCCTCCACTATGTCCTGGTCTGCTGCTGCCAAGAAGCATGTGAGTAATAAAATGTCTAAAACTTCAAAAAAAAAAAAAAAAAAGAGATGGACATCATTACCAAGGTACATGTGTGACTGCACATATGGTGTGATTCTACATCATATACAACCATGGAAATATAAAATTGTGCTGCAATTGTGTACAATCAACCAAAATGCATTCTGCTATCATATATACCTAATTTAAAAAATAATTAATTAAAAAACAAACAGAAAGAAAACAATATCCCTCTTTTGCCAACTAAAAAAAAGTGAAAAGCACACTTTTATAATTTGTTACCAAAACAAAATTATATAAAAGAAACTTTAAAACAAACCCACTGAACAACCTATGAACTTTGATTAACTTCCAACTACTCACTACTTTACATAAAATGAAACATTTTCATATGTATGACACTTTATGTATATGACACTTATAATCTGAAATATGTAACAGTAATATTACAGAACACTGCTTGAAACTTAGGATAATAACTGCGTGCGGCCCGGGTTCGATCCTCAGCACCACATACCAACAAAGATGTTGTGTCTGCCGAGAATTAAAAAATAAATATTGAAAAAAATTCTCTCTCTCTCTCATTAAAAAGAATACATTTAAAAAAAATAGAAAAACTTTAAAATCATGATGTTTTACTATTTCCCAGAATAATACCCACTTATCAGCAATAAACTTGAGTTGCTTCAGTAATTTAAGATACTTATTTAAGTCTGTTCTGCCTAATTAATGATCCAAAATTGAACTGTCTTTATTAATAGAAGAAATTTATTAATAACTAACAGACCCTACAAGAAATCTTAAATGCTTTTACAACCATTACTTTTATACATTCTAAATTCAAATGTCTTCAGAAAGCCATACATTTATATTAACATCAAAACAAATGAGGAATTAAATAAATTCAAAAAATTCTATAGTTCTAAAAACTATATAAAAAATAATCAGTGTCCACATCTTAAGCACTTACCATTGCTAGAAATCATAAGACAGAAATGATAAAAACACAAAAGATACTAAAGTTGAATCCTAATTTCTAATCAAATAACTTGGGTTAAAAACTTTTATCTCTGACAAGTGTGTTTTTCTTGGAAATAAAATATGAACCAACACAGTAAGCAATTGTAAATCACTGAAAATGCAAATTAAATGTTAATTATTTATAAATAATTATAAATAAGAGAAGGTATCTTCTTTGGCAAATTGATACAGAAAATTCCAGTGGCTTAATCTATTGAATTAATTATATTTTTTAAAAAAATCTGAACACTCCCCAACTCTCCCAAGCATTCAGAACTGAGGTCTTTAATAACCAACCCAGTTATAATCATATCTAGGTAGGCCTTAGACCTTACCCTCCCTCGAAGCACTGAGGATTTCACTGCAGGACATTAGCAATGAGTTCAAGTGTCATTTGCGAGAAAAGGACAAACCAGCAATGGCAAGGGGGAATAAAAGCACCAGGGGAAGAAGGGCAAAGAAAGAAAGGAAAAGGAAAAGACACGCCCCTGAAGATATTCACAGGGTCTTCTTGGCTGGTCTCTTAGCACTATCTTCCAAGCCAATTCTCTCTAGAGAAACGCCCCCAGTTATGATCCAGATTCCCCTAAGTTTCTCACATTGTCACCACCAAGGGCTGAAGATGAGGGTCCACTCCCAACAAGCACAGCTGGAACTCTGAATGTTACATAAACTTTGTTACGTAAAGTGACTATATTCTAAGCTTACGTTTTCTATCCTTTTAAGGCTTTCTTTCTGAAAATATGACAAGTTATAAAGAAAAATGAGAGATGTGAAAGTCCTCCAAATTTACATAATTTCACAGCTCACAGATTTCAGCTAAGAGCCCCTGGTCCATAATATTGTCAAGGCAGATTTCTAGTAAGATTATACACCAGCTCAACTTTCCCTGCCAGCTCTAGGACCAAATTCCATGCAATATTTCTTTAAAACAATGTTTCTATAAAAAACTTTCAGCCGGGAAAAATGGCACACACCTGTAATCCCAGGGATTTAAGAGGCTAAGGCTGAAGAATTACATATTCAAGGCCAGCCTTTGCAATTTAGCAAGGCCTTGTCTCAAAAACACTTTTTAAAAAAGTATTGGGAAAGTAGATCAGTAGTAAAGCTCCTCTGGGTTCAATCTCCAGTACCAAAAACAAAAATAATTTTTTTTTCTTACCTACAATCCTACCATAAGATATTTATCAATGTATTTCAGTGACAATTTTTTCTGGGTATATCATAAAATAACTAAATATTTAAAACAAAGTCCCTTTGTATGCTGATAGATATCAACTTTATGTTACAAATCAAATTAGATAGAACCATTAAATTACTATCAAAATTTTCAAAACCAGTTCAATAAGAGTACTATAAACACAAGCTTCTTTATTTTTAATTTCCAAAAGATACTTGTATGATGTTTAATCAATGGAATATTACTAACAAAACGAGGAACACAAAATTACTAAATAAATGCTATTCATATATAATTTACTGTAGAATTACATGGAACAATGATAGCATAAATAATTTTCCTAATTTTTTTCCTCATTTATAACTGATTTTGCTTCATTCAACTGAGAAAGTCAGGATCAGTAGTAAGCTATAGTGTTCTAGACAGATTATACATTATCTATTTATTCAAGTGCTTTCAAACCAAAACTACAGATATGAATACTTACTTATCAAAGCTATCACTATTTTTGATGAAGCTCTCCAGTTTTTCCTTGGCATATTCCACCACATCTGAATGAAGCTCAATCCCATGATTTATTCCAAAAGGACCTGCAATCGTAGCAGCATTTTTATAAAAAATATTAATAATATGCCCTTACAGAGCTCTTTTAATTTATGCTCATTTATTTAGCACAGGAGCGTTTAAAGAGGGCTAGAATATGCAAATACTTGCTAGCTACAGATATGAAAGTTGAATGGAAATCTAATTATTACTTTAATATAAAAAAGGAAAAAACAATTCACCTGAGTTTTCTGCAAAAAAAAATACTATGGTGCATAAAGTTGAAACCTACAAATCTCCAAAGAGAGTCGCTTATCCGGTAGGTCACTAATGTCAAAAGAACCATGATATATTCATATGAAGTTTAAGTACTTTCACTTATCATTTGCTCAAATTTGATGATTCTAGGATAGCTTGAAACCACAGGATGACATAAATAAAATATAAGTGCTTCAGAGCAGATAAATGCTAAATTCCTCCAGGGCCAACACCACATTCTCTGCCTTTTGGAGCTCCCACTGTCTAGCAGAATGTGGCAGTCAGGTACTCTCCACAGAGCTCTGTGAGTCCCAGTGTTCCCACAAACTTCACATTTCTCATTTGATATTTCCTTTTTACATGATCCTGGATAGAATACCCTCCCAGGAGAAGAGCGAGAAAGGAGGAAGGGCTTTCTCAGTCCCCAACTCCAGATGATGTTGGTTCCTCACTCTGGTACAAGCACACTGAGAATATAAAGACTGTTTCCTAAGACTATTGTATATATAAATAACACATGACTACATCTAGTTATGCTAGTTTAACTTCTGCAACTGAATCGAGCGTATTTTCCAGTCAACATTTTTGAGATTGGGCTTCTAGTAATGTGTGTTTCACTTACTTTCTGTATTTTTAAGAAATATGTAACTGGAAGTATCTTCTGAATGCCACTAAAAACAACAGTGCTTATAGATAGAACTATATAGTTAAGAATTCAATTTAAATTTCTACTGACCACAGGGGGGAAAAACTCACAAATTAGTACGCTTGGCTGTTAAAAGGGTACAAGATAAATTGGTTTGTAATTTAGGAAATACACAAACAATACAAATTTAACCAAAATGTTCAGTTGCAATCTTCAGCCAAAATCAGATAAGGATGATGCTTTCACCTATTATGTTGCTGTCATATCCTATTAGTGTTATATTTTTAACTGATTTCACTTGAAAAGTATTGATAGGTAGATTAAATCAAAAAGAACTCAATAAAGAGAATTAACTTCTTTGCAGTCTTTTCATATTTTTAGAAGTGAAGTGACGGAAGCAATCTTAAATGTTTTGCATTTTTGTTTCCTTACTTATAAACTATAAGTAGCCTTTATCCAGAAACTAAAACATAAGTGCAAAGTCATTTCAAGACCTGATATAATTCCTTACTATTATTATAGACAAACTGAGGAAAACAAATTTCATTTTAAAAAAGTGTCCGATTAAACTTAGAAAAGTACATACAAAACTTAACATTGGATCTGAATGTTTTGAGAACTTGAATTTTCATAGAGATCAAAACATAGAATGTTAGGAAAAAACAGTTTTCCTCATTTTAAAAAAAAAAAGCTCAAATTATAATTACTTTCACAATATGAATACAGTATAGAAAATACTGTTTTGTAAAATGACTCTAAAACTCATTTACCCTTTAAAGATAATCCACTGAATGAAAAATGTTAAGAGACATATTTTCATTGTCCATTAAGAATCTAGTTATACGAGTTAACCAATTTTATATATATTTTTAAAAAAAGGTCAGAACTATAGAGTTAAGAAATCAATTTAGGGCTGGGGATGTGGCTCAAGCGGTAGCGCGCTCGCCTGGCATGCGTTCGGCCCGGGTTCGATCCTCAGCACCACATACCAACAAAGATGTTGTGTCCGCCGAGAACTAAAAAATAAATATTAAAAATTCTCTCTCTCTCTCTCTCTCTCTCTCCTCTCTCACTCTCTCTTTAAAAAAAAAAAAAAAAATCAATTTAAAAGGTTGAAATCGCTGGCATTTTGTTTCCTATAAGGCACAATGCACAAGTAAGTTCAAATAACAAAGGGACTAAGAATCTGAAAAAATCAAGGCTTTCGTTCCATATTCCACACTACCTTATTAACAGATGGAGTCTAAATTTCAGAGTTCTAGGTCAAAAGAACTAGATAGGCTATCGTCACAGATGTCACTGGTCTCTGTTCTGCTATCTGTTTACTATCTAAAAACAAAGTGGCAACTCTCAGAATTAAGGCTTAAAGTTTAATTTCTTAATGTTTTTTCACATAACTTGTTTTTCACATCGCCTTAACACAAGATGGTTAATAATGATAAAAATAATTTCAATAACAATGAAAATATACATGTAGAATATACTGTCAAAATCTAGCTTAAATACCATTTGTTTAAAAAAAAAGCTAGAATTAAAAAACACCATTTTTTTAATGGATGGCATTTCTTAATTTTAAAGCAACATGGAGCCATATCTTTAATTATCATTACTTAATAATCTGAAATCATTAATATATTGAAAATAAATTTAAAATACAAAAATCATTTTAAAAAAGCAGAGCTTAAATAGCAATGTCACAATATTTATTTAGAAATTGATATACAACTAGAACACATAAAATGTTACCATAAAACTGTAGTGTGATGTTGATTATTACAACTTATATTTGACATCTCTATTAAGTAGAACAACCAGAAAATATGAGACAGAAAACAAACAACAACAACAACAAAAAAAAAACATTTATAGCTGCTTTTGAGAAAGAGGATTAAAAGGTCTAAGGTAAAAGGAACATTTTCATCATTACATGGTTTTGTTGTTAGTGTACTTTAATCATATGCAATAGGATTTCCAATAAACAATGGGCTAGTGAAAGAATGAAAAAATAAGACCATAAATGTTCTAATAAAATAAACAAATGATACTTTTGTATTTATATAATAGAAAGGTACAAATTGTCAATCAAAAGAAAAAATGAAACAGTACTCAAGATGATATATAAAACAAGCCAGATGAGGTATAAATTTGACTTTGTATTCAATAGATTCCAATGTTATTTATATTCATTACATTGAATATAACTTCATAGAAAAGTCTATGAAATAAGTCTTAGTTTCTCTAACATATTTTAAAAAGGAAAATGCTAATGGTTGAGTATTTTCTTTAACAGCTAAACATTAAAGAAAACAGTTTATTAAAACAAATAAGAAATATTTATGTATCCTATAATATTAGAAATGATCAAGGCTGACAAAAGCTCATTTATTATGAGCAATGATAAATAATAAAATTCTAATATAAGATGTAGATGACTTCTTTGGTAGTAATTCGATCTAATCTAGCTTATTTATTCAATTAGTCAATAACCAAAGCTTATATCTCATAAAAGTCAATATAAGTTTAGGCATAAATTGTCTATATTCTTATTTACATCTATATTAATCTCACATGATGTTCAATAGTTTGACAACTCAGTATGATCTCTGACAGAGATCAAGGAAACCCCCACTAGGAGCTTTACGCTGTTTGTATGAAGTCACCACACTGTTAAGTATTTCGTATAAAGCTGACTCATAGAACACAGTCACAGGCAAAAAGTACTCCCTAAAACATAACCAGAAAATAACTCTAAAGATAAAATAATTCAAGATTTATTAGTTCAGTTGCAGACTGTGATAAGGTGAGAAAGGCAAGATTAAAGGTCAAGATATCTGGATTACTAATCCAGGTTCTCCCTTTTAACTGCTATACAATCTAAAACTAGTTAGTTACTATCTGAAGACTAGTTGTTACTAAACAAAAGGGATCCTTGGGAAGACTGTATAGATTATGTCAAAGTGCTTCATATACTAGAAAGTACAAGACAGATGACAAACTATTGTTAGACACTATGATGCACATTCTTCCATACAGAATTATAGAAGATCATAACTTACACAAGTGGTTCTCAACCCTGACTGCATATCAGAATAACCTGAGAATTATGTAATCTACTTACATATCTACTTTAATTATAAATTAAATTTAAAAGACAGATTCAAACTGTAAATGCCTGCATCCTACTCCAGATAGGCGCATGCACCTAATTCTAACATGTAAACAGCATTCAGCATGAACCACAACCTAATTATCATAAAAAGCCCAATCTAAATGAGCCTTAAAATGTGTTTTAAATTAATTAAATTTCAGTTCTCATTGGAAAAAACAGTATTGATAGTTAATAACTACAAGTAACAGCATTTTGGCTAACTCTAAATATTTACCACAAGGGGGAGTAGGTGAATCAGTTATTTGGTTTCTATGAAACTAGTAAAAAAGTCAATGAGATGAAAATGTATGTGTAAAAATATCTTTCATTAAATTACAATGGACACTTTATTAATAGTAACTAAATACTTTTTATAAATAATTTTATAAGTAACTAGGAGTATTCTGAGATAGTAACAAGTAAAATGTGGACAAGAGTAGGTTTAGTCCAAAGGTAGATACAGGAAAGGGGAGAAAACAGAATCAGCAAAAGTCTCAGACACTAGATATTTAATATCTAACTAACTATATAATTAACATGATTAATTGTTCTAATGTAATAACACTTGCTGAAATGTTTCTTGTGGTTTCTGTGTAATACTGAAAAAAGAACATTAAGACAAACATCGTTAACTTTTACTACCCTCTTAACTACTCTGATTCTAACAGGATTAGGAAACAAGTCCCAGAACTTACCAGAAATATGTTCCAACCCTCAGGCTTCTCTCTGTCCATGGATATCCAAGTACTAGTTCCTTTTAAACATGTTTATACCAGATTGAAAATACTGATTTTAAAGAGTTACTGAAAATGGACCAAAGGCCCTAGGTAAATTTATGTTTCATATGTCAAAAGTAACAAGAACAGACAGTTCATTTACATATTTCTACTCAAAGGGCTAATATATTCAAATACAAATGTCCAGAGTAATCATGACTAGATCTCATATGTATACTGGAACATTACAATCAAGATTAAGTTTCCACCAAAGCAGAT